GGAATGACATAGCCTTGAGGGCATCCGTGAATCCTGATCAGAAAGGCTGCTTTTTGTATAAGGGACTGAACATTTGTACTTGTAAGGGCTGGTACAGTATGGAAAGGGAGAACTTTAGAGAACAAGAAGGTAATGAGGGATGTGGTGTGGAATACTGCTACCCCCAAGTCAGCTGATATTCCTGCCCTGACTAGGCTACAGTTTGGTTTATTCTGCATGTTTGAAAGCGCATATAGTTTTACAAGCTTTTGTAGTGGGGATGCAGGCATCCAGAATCTAACAGGTATACAGGTGCATCTCCCTCATTTTTGACAATTACTTGATATAATTTTATAACAAGTTCTTTGTTTTTAAAGAATTTCAGGCACTGAGAATACAGAGTGCGTATTTATTTCTAAGCTTTAAGTAGAACACGGTGTATTTTTTAATCCTTTCCATACTTTTCAGTTAAGTGTTCACAAGACTGTATATCAAATACAATACCAAGTTTTTCTATCTTTCTACAAGCCAATTTAAGTTTCATCTGAATTTGGTATATGTCTTTCACAAAACACTAAATGGGGAATATGTGCTTCAAGCATTAAGATGGTCTATGTCCTTTTCTCCATTTACATTGCATTACATTTCACTATTTTTCTTTGAGGCAGAGAGAACAGTTAGAAAATGTGTTGAGTGTGTTACAGGGGCACACAATGTGTTTCATTGTGCCTGGCTTCAAGGAATGTACTATAATGTTTGACTGCTCACAGATTCACATAATTTGAATACAGGACTGTTGTGTTGTATTTCCTGTTACTCAAAAACATTTGGGGAAAAGATTTTTCTGTGTATAATTTTATTTTCATACTGATCTCTATTTTGTTTAAGACCATGTTTCATCATGAAATCACTTAATTAAAATAAATCTTCTTACAAAATCCACTTTGGAAATAACTTCTTTTATTGTGCCTCTGAATATACTGTAACATCACTTTTTAAATGAGTACCTTTATCTCTAGTTCATTCTATGCCCTTTGCAGCATTTCAAAACATTTAGAAGAACCACAAGATACTCTTTGTGACATCACCTTTTCTAAGTCCTATCTGGTGGCCTATGGCATCTGGCAAATTACAAATCATCGTTTTGGAAGGGGAAAAAGTAAGGATTCTGCAGCCATATGCAACATAATTTGAATAAGAACTACATATGAACAAAACCCCCTATGACAAATGAACCAAGCACCAGATATCACAGGTAACACATTGGAGAGGCCCAGGCTTTGTGTAAGAGGCTCTGCTTTTGACTGGAGCAACACAGAGGTTTTGACTGCTGTAACACAGGAAAGCACAGTATTTTCACAGGGAAATATCTTCAGGGAAAAATGCGTTTTTCTGTCGTGAATAAAAGTCAGTGCTTCCCCCTCTACCCACCCAAGATTTCCTTCTACTTTTCTAGCATAATAATAGTTCCAGTAAGAGATACTGGTCTTTCACCAGCACTTAGGTAAGGGTTCTCCCCACCAAGACACAGGAGAATGGTGAAATGGCAAGCTGTCACTTCTCTTTTGTGTTATGTAAACTCTTTATAGAATCTGATAGTTAAGTGATATTTCTATTATTTTTATCTTTTTCTAGAAGGTAATTTTGCATTCTTCTGCTGCTACCAGAGCTGTGATGCAAGCTAACTTAAATCACTGAAGGAGAGCTGCTGTGGGAAGAGGTCAGGCTTTGAGACTGGAGCCCTTTCAGAATCTGTTCTCTGTTGTCATTCTCGATGTTAGACTCATATTTTCATCCCGGTCACCGATAAATGACACCACGTATTGCACAATTGCTCACTTTCCCCTCAGTATAAACACTGGAGTTGGTATGGAGCTCATGCTGAAATCTAGAGACTTTTCCCACTGGATCGAGGATTGCCTTTTGTGAGAAAGTGGTGCAGAGATTGTGGCACAGGTAAAAAAAAAGAAAGAAAAGTCAGGTTTTTTTTTTTTAAATGACCTGTATTAAATAAGAACATGATAATTCTTTTTGGGTAAGGGTAGTATCTGTATTCAATGATTAGATCATGTCCAGAACTGGCTATTGCAAATATGGCAGGATGTGTTGTGCTGATTCTGAGGGGCCTGTGGTAAAAAACCATTCTGTGCTTTATTTCCTGTTTTAGGTTAGTGTTTGGTATCAGAGAGGTTGCTTCACCTAACAGTGCTTGGCAGATGTCTGAGGCATGGGTAAGATCTGTAGGGTGGTGTTGCTTATTTTATCCCCACAGAGTGAGAGAAACATTTGGTAAGCACAGGCTGCTTTATGCTATGATCTGAGATGCACCAAGTCAGCACATTTTTCAGCTGGCCTGCCACACTCTGTGTGCTGTTTTGGCCTGCCAACTCCATGTTCTTTCCTCAAGCAAATGGCTCTGACTACTTTGCAGAACAACCATCACCCGCCTTTTCAGGCAGATTTGCTCAAGCTTCTTGAAGGCTGCAGTAGTAGAGGCAACATGTAGATGATGTGTATCTTTTCCCCATGAGTTTTAACTGCAGGATGCTGGAGATGCTCAGGTAAGCTGTTGTTTTGCATGTGGTGTTGTGGTACTTAAGCACACACCACGATGTGGAAGGGCTGTGCTGCAAAGAGGCTTAAAAGCTTGCTGGAGTTAGTCTTTGGCCTCATGTTTTTTGAGGCCTTTTTTTGGTGCTACGGTTCAGGGTGTTGTCTTGTCAAAAAAGTTACCACAAGTTGGAGAAGGCCGATCAGACATTCCCAGCTTCCAGCTACGTGGCTCCTAAAGTTGTGTGCTTGCCCTGCACCCCATGGCACAGTTACCTGTGGTAAGGGAAGGGTAGGTTGCCATCTATTCAGTCCAAAGTACATCAACCTTGTGACAGATTTGAGTTGAAATCAGCACTCCTTGAGGGAGCTGAGCTTTTTCCATAAGGCTAGCTCCCTAAAACACCTGATCTACGAGAGCTGTACATCACAGCTTTGCCAGATGGATAACTGATCAAGAAGAAATTGTTATTCTCGTGAAAGCCTCTAAAGACTCTAAAAAGCCAGCTTAGTAATGGGTAGGTAATCAAGGTAAGCAAGAGAAGAAGTAACTAAGAATGGGAATTATGAAGCTAACACCTTTAATTACTATTTTTTAATTATCCCAAAGACCAGGTGTATACATTAGGAATAATAATAGTTCATGATCCTGTACTATTGTGACCTTCAGCCTACCATTCCCCCTTCTCCACCCCTTGTTTGTCATTCTCAGTTGTGGTGTATCTAAGTAAAATTCCAAAGTCCTCAGGGTGGAGTCCTGTCAATTATACCCTTCTCTAAGTGCCATTCATGTTTCTATGGCATTACATAAACAGATAACCAGGACTACAATAACATGCATGTCACAAAGCATTTTTAGTATTTACTTGGTTTTCAAAACTTCGAGGAAGAGTAGAGCAAATCTTGAAAAGAATCGGTAAAGGCACACAAGCAGCTAAGGAGACAAACATAAGCACTGTCATTTACTTCTTGGCACCACCTGCTATAATAACCTAAAACATCTTAATTGTGGTCATCATTTAATTTTACTCTGTGGATCATTTGGTATGTTCGGAATGCTGCTTGCTTTTCATACTGCACAGAGAGCACTCCTCAACAAAACCAATCTTGTCCACATGTTGTATTTTTATTTGACAGATGTATTTGAGATCGTGTTATAATGAAGAAAAGGTTATAATGATCTCAAACTCTGCAGACTTCGAGTCATGTGGTGGAACTCTGTGGGAGAGAGTAAAGATTTTAGACTGATTTTATCAAAAATACCCACAGCTCAAAGTGCTAAAAAATCTAGATGGAAGCAGGAGCTTCCATTGAAAGGCAGCTCTTAGTAGGTATATTTGTGTCAGCTACATGGTATAACATATTCTGAACTCTTCAAGAATACTTTCTGCTTTCTCAAAGTGCATATCTTATCTTCATTTATACTACTTTCATCTTAATGCAAGCTGTGACAACGTGACTTATGTACTTTACTCACCATTAACACAGCAATTACCCATTTCACTGGCAGTGCCATGACATAAACAAAATTAACCCAGTACTTCTAATGGTGCACTGCTGAAATTAAATACAGAACTTAAACTCTTATGCTACATTACTATTACTGCCTTCATGACAAATCTATTATAAAACGGATGTTTGCAAATTTCTAGAGCAGCTGGTTGGATTGCTTCAGAGAAAATCAATTTGACAAACAAATTGCAGCTATTTTAGAACTCTTTCTAACTTCAACTTATTTCTAAACCATGCTCTGGGCTATTTTGAATCCTCAGAAAGGGTCTTTGAAACTACACGTTAAAGCCTTTTAACTTTTTTTTTTCTTCTGGGCTCCTTGAAACACGAGGCTCTGAAGGCGCAGTGCATGAAATTGTCAAGCAGGCTCCGTGCGAGACGTGTACTTGTCTAAAAGCACTGAAAAGCGCTCTGCTCCCTGCAGAAGTCAGTGAGCAGTGGTTTCCCAGGGTGTTTTTTAGCCGGGCTCAGACAGCGCTGCGGTCGCCCGAAACCTCGCCGGCTGCGTCATGAGCCCAACCGCGAGCGGCCAGGCCGGGGAGCGCACACGGCTGTGCCACCGCGGCCGGGGCTCTGTCACATCCCCGGACCCGAGCGGAGCGGAAACGCTGCAGACGCGGCCCCACGTCCCGCGGCTCCGGGATCTGCGGGGGCACAAAGGGGCCGCCCCGCCGCTGCCCCGCCGCGCAGCCGGGCGGTGCCCCGTCCCTCACGGGCCCGCGGGCCGGGCACGCGGCACCTGCCGCGCCGCCTGCGCGGGGCGGGGGCAGCCGGCAGGGGGCGCTCCCCGTCCCCGGGGGCCGCTCCCGCCAATCGCGGGGCCGCCGGGCGCGCGCGGCCGGGCGCGGATTGGCCGCTCAGCGGGCGGGGTGGGCGGGGCCGGGCGCGCGCGCGGCCGGGGCAGCCGCGCCCCGCGGGCTGCGCGTTTCAAACGCCGAGAGCGAGCGAAGGAGCGGGAGGGCGGCGGGAGCGGGGCCGGCCGGGAGCGGCCAGCGGGGAGCGGTGAGTGTGTGTCCGACCGGGGGGCTGCTCCGCTGGGCGATGGGTGTTGGGCGCTGCGTGTTGGGCGCTGCCTCCCCTGCCCGGTGCCGAGTCCCGCCGGTGCGCGCCTCCCCGCCCCGCGGGGCTGCCTGTGAAGGCGGTCGGGGCTGTACCGCGCGCACCGGCCCGGTCCCGCCTCGGTGGCCGCCCGTGGTCCTTCGCTGCCAAACGCCTTCCCCGGCCCGCAGCGGGGACTTGACTTCTTCGCGAATAGTTAAATGAGGCGATTTTTCTGCCTGGCTGAACTTCCGTAGTTTAGTGCGAAGTTTTCTTTTTAATGAGAGTCTTGCAGGTTTCTGTAGGAGCCACATTTCTGATGTCTGCTACACATTGGTGCAATGTGTAATAATACAGGTATCGCCTTTAATTTTGGAAATAGTTAATGTTTTAGAATTTGTGCCGCCTTTTTTTCCATAGCTAATTGAATCTCATGTGGGTTTCTGCCTGCTATGAATATATGTTTTTCTCTATTCTTTGTGATACCGAGCTAAAAAAAGGAGAGATGATGTGTCTTACCGGAGAAATAAAGACAGTGCAACAGAAGGCAGAAGTTCTCCTTAATAGTTGCTCTGTAAGAATGAGGATATAAAATTAAGGTTTACATAATATAGCTGATAATGGTAATAAACTCATAATGGTAAGCTTTTAATCAATTCAGTCAGTTATCTAATACAAATATTTTTGTGCTGAAGTACTGCAGTAGGGAGATAACTTTAACTGTTCCAGTGTATCTAGTGAGTACAGCACTAGGGAGAGTCACGTAAAATTTCAGACATCAGAATCGGCCTCTTAAGTGATAAACTGTCATATAATTGGGGAAAAGGAATGCATGTTTGTTAAAAAGTGATTCAGAGACTTCTGTATTTGTATTGTTGCCTCTTGGTAATTTTTAAAGAAGCTAATTGATGCTTACCAAATGATACTTTGAAGATATTTTTAAACTGTGTAGTTTGGGTCTGTTTCCTGCTAAAGCCTGTATTATGATTTGAACCCAAAATTGTGCCAGTGTGAACATCCATGTTCCAAGAATGGGAATGTGAACAGTGCTGGATGGGTACAGGATTATATTTGAATCATAACTAGTTCAAGTGCTCCCCCAGAAGTTTCTGATAGTGCACTTCTGTCATTTGAAAAGTGAAAGTGTATTTTTGTGAGTTTGCTAACTGTCCCTAAACTGTAATTTGCCTTGTGTTTGTTGGGTTTTTTTCATTGCTAATAAAGGCAAACCTGCTCTTTAACTTAAAAAAAGCCACCAGTTACAACTTCTGTTATCCTTCAGTAACCTTTTTCTGCCTTGCTTTTGCATTTTACCTGAAGAGATGCTTCAGGCCTATAAATGTGAATGCCAAAATCTAGTATTTTTATGGGCTTTGGTTTTATTTTTAACAGTAGTAGACTTAATGTGGGTGGGTGTATCTTCATAAGGTGCTGTTCTGCTGGTTTAATAAGATAATTTAATCAGAATTACTATGTCTGAATGATTCTCAATGATCTGAACTTGCAAAGAGAACATTGTCTATTCATGCTGCTTTCTGACAATTAACCTAGCCTTAAAAATGAAACTTAGATGAGCTATGAATGAGTCTAATAAGAAATGTGAATCTTCCCACTGGAAAAAACACTTTTGTCCTGTTGTTACCCATTCCTGCTATGTTGCAGTCAACAAACAGGAAGGAGTTTTAGTTACTTCCCACAAGAATGCGAGTTAAAAGTATAAAGGTACTGAAATTTACCCAGAATCCAAAGAAGTGTTAAAGCTTATTTTCAGAAAGATTAAAAGGAAGGTACATATCATTAATAGTTAAGTAGTTATTAGCATTTTTATTAGAATTGAAGCCTATCCCTAATCTCTTACAGATATGCTCCAGGGGGGAAAAAACCCCAACTTATCTCAAATGTTTAATTATTAAAATAGCATGTCTTGATTAGTATTCCTTTTGGGTTTTATTTTTACAGTGAATAAAAGTGTTGTTTTCAGGTAACTACGGAACGAAGTAACAGCTATTCTAGTTTTATAGACCTAAACTCTAATATTTGTATACTTGCTTGTGCTGCAGTTATGGAATCTCTAAAACTCTTAATTGTTTTGCTTTAGCAGGTGACTGGTAGAAGGGAGAGACCTGTTCTTGACAATGTCAAGAAGAAAGCTGGAGAATAAAAGCCTTTCTGGCTTGTTAGACACACCTCTGCACACAGCAATCAAGACAGAGAATTTCCACAATTTTTATACGCTTGAATCAAAACAGCTAGGAAGGTAAGATTGTTCCTATGTATTTTATTTTAGCAGGGGGAATTTCTGCTGCAGGAGAATTCTTTGTACGGTGATAGAATTTTTCTGGCAAACTTTTATAGTAGTAGATGGAGAATGAAGTATCCTTCCCAGTCCTCTTCTTTGCAGCATCCAGTGGGTTCTCTGGGGACCAGGAAAAAAGGTACAGTGATACCTTACCAACTGGTAAGTTGCCAGCCCTTTTCCACATCAGAGAGATGTTTTCATAGGCATGTAGATTTGGGATTATCTTCCTTTTCTTGCGTTTTCCCTGTCTAGTCACACATCAGATTTCAGGTACATGGACTGAAGAGGAGATGACGTAGAATGACATAGATAAAGAATGGGGGTTTTGAGTTGGTTGATCCAGTTGTTTGGATGAATTTTCTGAAGTCCATAAAACCTTTTCTCTCCCCACCCTCAAGCAGTTTCGAGCAACCTACTGTTTCAGAGTAGTTTTGCAGCCTTCTTCCCTTGCTCGTGTTTGCAGCAGTAAAATAGGAAATAACAAAAAACCCCAAGCTCTTGGTATTTGTGATCCTGTTTCAGGCATACGAGTGAATGTGTTTTTCGAAATCGCTGTGTTAGTTCACACCTTGAAAATATTCGGTGAATTGGGTGTAAAGCCGAGCAAACATAGTGCCATGGTCGTGTGTCCACGCTCCTTGGAACAGAAGTGACAAGGGTCAGCCTCACAGTTGTGCCTTGCTGGGCTACACAGCAACACTTTGCACCTGCAGCTTGTTTTGTCAGCAGAGATGTTCTTCTGTATGTGTTTTTGTAAGCTCTTTGGCCTTCATTGTTCTCTTGGGTTTTTTCTGTTTTTCTAGCATGTGCTTTATCTGGTAGACTTTTGCAGAAGTGCACATGGCAGCCCATAACTTTCCTCTTTTCTTAACTATTGTCAGCTCTGCTTTTGAAATCTGGGCTCTGCAGAAGCAGTTGATATGCACCATCCTCTAGAACTCCAGTGTTGTTAAAAGGCTGGATTTTGTTGTACGTACTTGTGAGATGACATCTAAAACAAACAAAACTATGGATTTTTCTGTGGGTTCCAGAACACTGGATTCTTTAACACTTTGTTACATGCAAAACCAGGCATAACAAAACAAGTGCCAAAATGCAGAGAAAACAGAAGCGGAGTACTATGTTTTCCAAACATACTTTTGATTTTTCCTAGCCTGTGTGTATATTTTTTTAATGTTTTCAGTGTATAAATGCTTCGTAAGTGATGTAAAATCCATCTTTCTTTGCAGCCTACCTAAAAGATTCAATATGCTTTTTTTTTTCACTTGCAATTTTCTTCTTCCTCTTCAGATTATGTAGTAAATAGTTCTTTTGTTCTCTGCTTAAGCTTCCCAAGTCCCATTTCTTCCTCCCACACCCTTATCTGCTAGGTCCTTTGGTATTTAAGACACTGACTCACGAAACTGGCAGGTTGGGTTCTCTTTAGTGGGTTTAGTAGTTTTGTCCCTGGTGTGTGCATGGCTTGGCTTCTTCTGAAGCTGTTAGATTTCTGTGGTTTATAACTTGAGATATGAAAACATCTTGAAATCAGTTTTTCTTGTAAAACTGGGCTGTGAAGAGTGATGGTTACGCAGCTGCTTTGCAGGCAGCAGGGAGTGGGAACTACTCTGCTTGCTTCGGTGCACCACTTCCGACCTGACTTCTTTGCATTTCTGGGGCAATTTCCACTGCTCTAAAAGAACTGTTCTGTCTTAACTTTGTCTTAATTGGCACTCTGCAAATAGAGTATAAACAAGTGGAAATTCTTACGTCATCAATCTGGAGATGCCACTGACCCTTCAAAGCCCTTAAACCCGCAGCAACCAGGGGGAATATGGGCCAAAACTATCAGGGAAGATCTTACTGTTCTCATGAAACTCAACCAGTTCCCCTTTGGTAATTTTAGAGAAACTTTTGTGGTTGACAGGGTGATGTGATGTTAAAACAAGAATGTAAGCTGGGGCAGGGAGTATTTTCAACTTTGGTATGTAATGAAATTCATCTCAATAACTTAAAATGTTCTGCAGTAATTAGCTGGTTTAACAATTGGGAAAGAACCTGGCAATTGCAGGCTTACAAATATTGCTAAAATGAAGAGTGTGCACGTACCAGACTGTAAATAACTTCCACCACTGAAATTAATTTTTCCTTTGAATTTTGTACCCTTGCCTTTCTAAATCTAGTGCTTTAAAAAAAGGCCAGAGAAATCCTACAACTAATTTATGTAGAAATAAATGATGACAGCATCTGTTTTGTTGAATTTTTTTCTAAGTAATTTACAGTAGTATGATTAGAGGTAAACTTTACGTGTTTAATAATGCAGGTTTGTGCAGACTACTTAATATCTGGTTATTTGCATATGAAAATCTTACTTTTTTTCATGAGATGCTCATACTTTTTTTGATTAAATACTGAAGTCTAGATTTTTTTTCAAAAAAGGCTCAGACATGCCTTTTTTTTTTTTTTAAGGAAATATTCCTTTTAGGCACTGGGGCTTTTACACCAGAAAAAAGGCAAAGCAGGGCAACGTAGTATTTTCTACTAAAGTAGCTAATTTAGTTAAAAAAAACCACAGCTCAAATAACTCATGCTGAGCTGTTCCATTAAGTTTGTTCTTAGTATGCTGTGGTAACAAAAATATGGGTGGAAAGGCTTTTTTTTTTTTTTACATAAGTGTAGATCTTTGTGTGTAGTTTTATACTGTTTCTAGAACTTTAGACAATTTATTTTAGCCTTTCAAGTTTGGTTTTTTTTATAAATAATGTTTCCTGTATCATTTGAAAACACTTTGCAAGAATGCATCTAGGCATTTCTGGGAATGCACTAGTAGTGGTTATAAAATTTTGTTTTTTCAGGAGTTTATAACTTGGCTTAAAAAACTGCAACTTTTTCCCCCTGATTTTTTTAAAAAGATCAGCTTGGTGTTTTAATGACAGTATGTGGGTTTTTTTAAAAAACATTTCTTTACCAGAATACATTTTTTTTTTCCATACCTAAACAGTTGGCTAGGAAATAAAGCAGCACACTTTGTCTAACTGTAATTGAGGAAGAGAATGCTAAGTATTGGATGTTCTTCTGCTAAGATGTTTTTAAACATTTTGCAGATACCTGAGATTTTTGTAGCAGTACCACATGATTTGTGGAGGGAAATTCTCTTTATGACTTCTAAAATTTTCTGAAAACCTCCCTGCCCCTCTGTACATATAAATATGCTTTATTTTCAGTGTTCATTGATTGCATTTCACAGGGGGTTTGCTTTGTTCATTACGGTGTCCTGTAGGTGTTATGATGAGGTTGAGGGTTTTTTAGTGTAGTATTGCCAGCCTGAACAAAGCCCTGAGCAGCCTGGTAAGATGTCTTGGCTGGTCCTGCTTTAAGCAGGAGGTTTTGAGAGACCTCCAGAAGTCCTTTCCAGATGAGTTATTTTGTGATCCTACAGTGAGAATGTTCTTGTAACCCCATATCTGATTTAGTGTTTACCTAGTCTTTATAAAGGGAATTTTACTGGGTCTGACCAAAGCTTCATCTGGCTTAGTATCCTTTCTTCTGCAGTGGCTGAAAGTGAATGTTCAGGGAATATGTAAGAAAAGGCCAAACATGGCATTCCCCAGTACATTTTTTGTTTGTTTCTAGTTATTTGCCATGCCCTCTTATTTCTAGTGGCAATTTCTGTGCTTTTTATCTCTTGGGTCTTAATGTTTTCCCTTTTATTTTGTAGAGGAAGATCTGCTGTGGTTAGAAAATGTATAGCTAAATCCACAGGCCAAGAGTATGCAGCTAAATTTTTAAAGAAGAGAAGAAGAGGCCAAGACTGCAAAGCAGAAATTCATCATGAAATTGCCGTACTTGAATTAATGAAATCTAATCCTCGCATAGTTAATCTTCATGAAGTCTATGAAACAGCAAATGAAATCATCTTGGTGTTGGAATAGTAAGTATGCCTTCATCAGATGTTCCACATTTGTAGTTAAAAGTCTTTCAGTATACTAATTTTTTGCATGAGCTGCCTGAATGCCCAGAATTACAACAGTACACTGTATATATTATGCTAATATTTCATTAGGATATACTTTCTAAGCATCTTTATATTTTTTGCTTTAAGAGTGTTTCGGGCAAGTTGACTGGAGATAATGTTCTTGAATCCCATCGAAAGTCCAAAGTGCTTTGATGCATCTTAAATGATAAAAAAAAAATTAGAATAGCCCAGTACTGATACCAAGTACACAGACTTCAAAGAAGCTGAGCACGTCTATGCTCTGTGAACTTCAGTTAGCACTTGATGCTTTTTGGTGACTGGAGACTTGTAGTTGCTTTGTGGGTTCTGAGCTTCTAAATTTAGTAGTTTTGTTGTTTTGAAACTGTTTGGCTTTTGGAGCTGTTTTGTAAAAAATTCCCATATTTGTTTCAGATGTCCCTGAAGCTTCTCATTAGAGCTGAAAAAAAAAAAAAAAAGTCTAATTTGGGAATTGAATTTGAATTATCTCTCATATTTGCTGTACATTTTTGTTTGGAATGTAGGAAACAAAAAGGCAGATTTGGAAGTTAGATCTCTCTAGGCTTTAATTTTCATGTACAAAGTATTTGAAGTGCTGTTAATGGTGGTCTGCATACACCATGATAAATCCCTTCAAATTTTCCAAAGAATGTAGCTAGATTCTATCTTTAAAAGCTTTTTTTCCTGGAACTAGATGATCCCTAACATATTATTTGTTGTTCTGTGAAGGTTAAAATAATAAATAATGTAGAAGTCAAGACAAAGTCCAGATGGCAAGTTTTGAACTTCTGAAAGTGCAAGTTCACATAAAAACCATACTGATTTTCCTGCTTCTGTTTCAGCTAAGCTAGCTCTCTCTTGCTTATTAAAGCTCTGTAATGAAACATCTTCCTTATGCTACATTGGTGTTCATGGTGTAACTTCCTTGTAGTGGTGTTCCTACTTTTGTGGGGATTACACACTTAAATTATATTCCCCTGTAGCAGAATAAACAGCTTTTCATGTTCATTTCTCTTTATCAGAACTCTGAAACAGTACTTGAAAAGAATTGCAAGAAATGAGTTTATAAAATAGTTTATAAGCATTTCATCTTCAACTGTATTTTTCCCCCCTGCACATGTTCCTTGCTCTTGTTATGTGTTGTTGGGGTTTGGAAGATGTAGGAGTAAGAGTCAGTTTGTGTTAGTGCACATTTTCTAAATAAAGGTGACATGGATGCTAGTTCTTAGTAAGGCCATCTTTGTGGAGGGAATCACTATAAAGATATGAATATTTCTTCAAAAGCCCCACCATGGAGGTTGCTACTCTTCTAATGTGAGGGCCAAAGGAAGAATCCAGTTACTCAGAGAGAAACCTGGCAGCTCTACTAGCTTGTTGTGCAGCTGTAATAATTTCCAGGTCTATCTAGTTTGTGCACTGAAGAACTAAGAAAGGCTCTGCAGAGTGAGATCAGAACTCTGTCTCACCTGCCATTTCCAGCAGTGGCTGTAGGAAGGTGCTCTTTAGGAAGAGCTAAGGAGCATATAACTGCCCACTTTTTGCTCTTCACTCTCTTTGCACTGTTGCAGCAAACAGAGGTATTGTACTGAGAATACCTTTCTGCTTATTCCTTTTAGTTTATGGACCTGTCCAAGTCTGTGAATGCGTTTTGTCCTTTTTTTGAACCTGGTGATACTGTCTACTTTGGTGGTAATAAATTCCAGGTGCTCATTATCTTCTGTGTGAAGAAATATTTTCTTTTATCTTTTTCAAACTAATCAGCTAGTTTCATCAGATGCCTCCTAGTTCATATATTGTAGGATCTGGTGAATAACAGTTTTTGTTTGTCTCTAAACCAACTTTAGTGTTTTTGTAAGCATCACTTGTACACTTCTTCACAATCTTCTATCCAAACTGAAGAGTAAGTTTGGTTTTTTTTGTTGTTGTTGTAAAGCAACTGTCTGTCCTCTTACTTACCTTTCTTTGTATCTTCATTAATCCTACATAAATGAAGATAGAGAAGCAGAACTACATGCTAAGGTTTTATACTGAGCATTGTTTTGTTGCTTGTTCTCAGTAGCCCCCCCATGATAACCAGGTATGTTGTTTTTTGTTTTGACTGCTCTGCACATTGGTCCTATTATTTCTTAACGATTTTCGGTCAAAATTTTCTGAGCTATCCCTGCTAGTTCAGTGTGTCATTGTGTGGGATTCCATTAGGTTATTTATCTATTTACACCACAGGTCATCTGATGCTCTTTTACTCACTTTCTCTGTTGGTGCTGAACTTGCTTTTGTTCATGTCTTCCTTGAACTGGGAAGCCCAAACCAGGATGCTGCATTCCAGCAGTGGTCTGGTGTGCTGGGTAGTGTCACTTGCCTCAGTCTGCTGGCTGTGCTCCTGCTACTACAGCCCAAGGTGCTGCTGACCTTTCCTGCACTTCAACTCTCACTGTCTCTGAGGACTCACAAATCTTTCCTGCAGAGCTTTCAGCTCTTTACCCATCTGAGTGTCCACCCATCCAGACCATAATGCAACTTGGATACAATAATACTGTGGGAGGCAGTGTCAAAACCTTGTTAAAGCTGGAGTAAATGACATCCACATCTCTTCCCTCATCTACATTTTGTCATAAAGCCAGCTAGAGGAGACATTATGGACACCTCACAGAGCAGGTTTATGACTGTGCTTATTTGTGTTGTCCATCATCTAACTTTTTTATAGATTCTGTCATTTTGTTAGCATTGAAGATTAGGCTTACTGATCTGTAGTTTTGAGGTAGCTCTTTATTCTTAAGGGAGAGAAACTTCAGGCAGTTTGAGCAGGCTGAGTAGTGATTTCAAACCCAGCCTGAAAGGAAACAGCTGATGCTGTGGCCAAGGGTAGAAGTGTAACTAATAAACCACGTGCAACATGGTTATTTCCATGCTGCTTTACACTGTACTAATAGAGTTTTCTGGAAGCCTTTTTTGAGGAAGATGAACTTGAGATGCTCTGTTAAAACATGAACCTTGTCAATCTTATTTTTGAAATCTGCCATTTTTACACTAAAAGTGACGGAACTGAGTCCTTGTATTTCTCAATATTCTGTGTCTACTAGAGTTCTGGAAGGGACTGTTCAATAACTGACTAGGCAACTGTATATTTAATCAGCGGTAGCATGCTAGATTTTCTTCCTGGTACCTTTCTGAGTCTTCCATCAGAATGGCAGGAGGCAAGTATGCAGTTTCCTCACTCCAGAAATATTCCTTAGCAGTCTAGCTGTTATTAGTTTCCTCACTCCAGAAATATTCCTTAGCAGTCTAGCTGTTATTAAGTTGTTGTTATTACATTTACACCACAGCCACATCATGTAAAAAATAATGATTTTTGCTCCTGAAATCTGAGAGTAGGAATACTGCTGGACTTTCTTGCTTTGAATTATCTATGAACTGGTCTAATGGAAGAAATTTATATTTGACTTGAAAAGAGAGGCTTCTTTGGTTAAGGAATGATGACAGAACTCATCTTCTTGAAGGCATCTTCACACCTGCTTGTAGGAAAGAACGCTTGAGGGTACCGGAGTCTTATGACATTTTCAACCAAAGTTCTGTTTTGCTGTCTCAACTGCTTTTGCTGACTACTAGGAAAGAAAAAGCATCATCAGATTTTTTTTTTCCTTTTCTATGTGCTTATATTATGTGTTTTGGCATAAATATGTAAAAAAAAGTAATAATAATATTTCCAGCCTCTCTGAGATTATAAATATACATTAGATAAATATATTGCAATATATAGCATTTTTCCTCACTTAAGATTCAAAATTTAAACTTAACACATAAGTGTTCTTGAATGTGTTTCAGTGCTGCTGGAGGAGAAATGTTTGACTTGTGTGTCCCAGATCTGGATTACAGAATTGGTGAAAGGGATATTGTAAGACTTATAAGACAAATACTTGAAGGACTTTGCTGCTTGCATGAAAACAATATTGTTCATCTTGATTTAAAGGTAAGACTTTTTATTTTAGTACTTTAATTTATTATTGCATTAAAGTAATTTGTTAAATACATAACAAAGATGAAGAGAAAAAGGAGTGTGTTAGAGATTAAATATTTTTAAATAAAATTTAGCAATAAGCATTGCATAATAGAACCTGCAGTGTCATTTTGTACATTGGGCTTTTTTGCAGATTGCATTTGATTAATTGAGATCTAAATCTTTTCTATTCTAGCCTCAGAATATTTTGCTGAGCAGTGTCAATCCTCTTGGTGATGTAAAAATTGTAGACTTTGGTATTTCCCGGAAGCTTGAGAATTCCAGTGAACTGCGGCACATCATGGGAACAACAGAGTATCTGGGTATGGAAGAGCTGCTTCACAATGTCTGATTTGTGCTTTGGAGAAAACAAACAGTTCATGTAATATTCTTATGAACTTACCAGTCATTACTGGAGAAACAACATTATAGGACAAAGCAACGTTCTTTTTTTAGAGTGGTCAATGAATATTTGCACCACAAATTCCCAAATTATGTCAGTAAGTGCAGCTCTCAATTCATGCCGTAGCACTTGCTGTGATGCCAGCTGTTAACAAAAAGTTTTGGCTGTTAAATTCTTTTGATTAGAATTGAAATACAGCATTAACATGCACAAAGAAGTGTTCTTTGAGTTGGGAATGTTGTTTAGTGTGATGGTTTAATGAGATTAAAATATTCCTTGGAAAGGGGAAGATTGCCATTAGCAGTGTGAGGCACAGGTTTCCTTCATGATTTGCCAACACTCGATTTTAAGAGCACTTCAAACTACAGTGAATAACTTGCTATCTAGCATAGGCTAATGGCCACTGATCCTAAGATTGGCTTGGTCATCTGCTTTTGCAGTGTTAACATGCTGAAGGCTTTATGCATTCCCCTAAAAAAGCTATATACTTCAAAACCTCTTAGAAGAATGTTTTATGTGGATACTTCTGATTAGAAAACATCTTGAGATTTGGCTAGGAATAGACTTTAGGCCATGTAGTGCTGTTTAAGTGTGACTCAATTAAACATCTGTGTGTCTAGTCAAACAGAAATAACTTTTTCGCGCTCCTGTGGCTTGAAAATAATAAACTTAACTATTGAAACTGCGTGTTTAGTCTCATAATAATGGTTGGCAAAAAAATGCCAGAAATGTAGCGTATGATTCAAGGCCGTTTGAGTGATATATTTATTAAAGCATTTTTCTTCTCTCCATCTGTTTAGCTCCAGAAATCCTAAACTACGATCCTATTACCACAGCTACAGACATGTGGTAGGTTGTATATCTTAATTCATTTTATTGAGGTGGGGGGGCCACTTAACAACTTAGGGGCCAGATCTGGACACTGGTGCAGTTTTTTCCTGGCTTCCAAGAATACCCTGCTGCTGGACTGACTAAAAGAGGGAGAGATAGGAGGATATAACTCAGGGCTTACAAGGAATTACTGTAAATGGGTCTCTTGCACACTTAGAAGGGAATGCCAGTGGCTTCTGAGCCTGGAGTATAGGTATTTGTTCTAAGGGAACAATAACAGTGGCTGGATAGCATACTTTATGTGTTAGTTACTCTGGGATGACAAGCTTCAGGTATGAGCTTCTCTTGGACACTCTTTCCTCCCCACTTTTGTTAAATAATTTTATTATACAAATGATAAAAAGTATTTAAGTTTCTACTTTTTATCTTTAGAGAAATACTTGCAGAATGAGTCATAAAAAATGAGACAAATACCTTAAAGTGATCCACAGCTTTATTTGTGGCTTACTAATTTTATGAACTATGTTAGTTTAAAGACTGACTTTGAAATGTTTCCTTAGAAACATAAAATATTCATATGCTCGTCTTGAACATCTTAATAATTAAAATTCAGTTTTAAAAGTTGCTGTGATCTAATTGCTCCTTTGAAATCCTCAACTCATAATAGTAACTAAATCTGTTCATGAATGTTTTTTTAACCACTTAATATTTGCGTGCTTTTGTGGGAAGACATAAAAACAAATTGTTGGTGCTCTACTCAGAATGACAAACACAGCAGCAGCTGCAGTTTCCACAGTGTAATGGGTACTAAGACCTGATCTGTCTGATCACAAAAACATTTTTATTATGCATCAGGAAACCATCTAAGATTTATAATAGATTGCGTGATGTGTCATGTTCTTAGGGAAAAACATCTGAGCAAGAGGATATTGTAGCCCAGCTCGGATGTGGAATGTGCAGAAAGGTTGACTAAATCTCAGTCTTTGATAATTCATCCAGAATTGTAGTGAAAGCTGGGGTTTTATTTACGTGCAGATAAGAAAGTCTGTTTTTCCACTGTTCTGTCCTCCAGAATCGCTGTATGTCCAAGAGAGGGCTGTGTAAAAGGGATGCATTTGCTTTCCTAACAATCTGAGTGGAAAGAAAAGGGTGTATTGAAAGTAAGAAATTTTCAAAAATGCCTCCACTGAGATGCTTTCCTTGTGTGTGTTTGTGCTTACCTGCTTGAATCACATAAAACTGAGATGTCACATGATCCTTTTAATTCTCTTAAGTGTGGGACATCAGGAAGTTTGATCTGCAGCACAGTAAATATGCAGGATATATTGTTCAGATGTTCATGTAGGATTGTACATTGTGTTCTTATCTCAGGAACATTGGTGTCATTTCATACATGCTGCTGACACAAGAATCTCCATTCGTGGGAGCTGATATTCAAGAAACTTACCTTAATATATCTCAAGTTAATGTGGATTATTCAGAAGAAACATTTGCATCAGTTTCACAGCCTGCCAAAGACTTCATTCAAAAACTTCTCATAAAAAATCCAGAGTAAGTAACAAACTCCTCCAGGCAACAGTCTTAAATTTGTGGAGCACCTAGAGAAAGTGAATGTTCATTTATATACCTAATACCATGATTCCTTGAAATCCTAATGGCTGAATATTCGCTAGCATTTATTATCACCCTATTTACAATGGGCAGTATAAAACATAGGACTTCAAAAGCATAAGCATGTGCACATTTATATGTACCATGTTGAAAACATTCCAAGGGAACTATGTTCCTTGTTCTGATGAAAAGCTTACTACCAGCTTTGGGGGAAACTGTCAGCTACATTTAGATGTGTGTTGCCACTGCTTAACCTTAAATATGTGTTTTGTAGCAGCTGAGGTAGTGCTGAAAAAACAGTGATACTGATGCTTTAGTGTCAGTTTTGCTGAAGATTTCTTAACGTGTGTCAGAGTTATTTTAATTAAGTTTTTAGTATTTCTGAAATTCACTAAAGCAACTTTTCCCTTTTCTTTTTCGAAGGGAAAGACCCACAGCAGCGGACTGTCTTTCTCATTTGTGGTTGCAGCAAGGGGAGCTCACGCTCTTGTGTGGCCCTGAAGAAACCTGTTGCTCTTCTCAGATGTCAGGACACGCAACGAAATGCTCAGAAGAGCGGAATGTAAAATCCAGTTGTAATGGTACCTGTAGCGACAAGGAAGACAAAGAAAACATTCCAGAGGACAGCAGCACAGTCTCCAAACGTTTCCGTTTCGATGATTCATTGCAGTATCCCCAAGACTTCACGACAGACTTCTTATGTTAATGTGTAATGCAGACTTTTATAAAATGAATTCAGCATAATCTATTCCAGTGGTGAAAATAAGATTATGGCTTGCCAATTCATGTAGCATTGGCGTACTGGAAATGCACTTTGATTCTTTTATGCTGATGCCTCCTTTTCTATCCATTGCTGGCAGTGGATTTAACTCCTGAGAAATTGGAGTTGTTGCGCCAATAAAATGAATTATTTTTTTTTAAGAAGATATAAATAAATATTTTTGCACTTTTCGATTTCTAGTCAAAAAATGACGCTAGAGTGAACTAACTGAAACCTGAAAATGAGTTTGTTTAAACTCAACCTTTGCCAAACCGTGGTTGAATACGTGCATGCTTTTATGACTTGCCTTAATAAGAAATTGGTCTGAGCAGGGAAACTGAATCTAGCTGTCTTACTGAACTTACTTGTGACCCTTCTCATCACTTTAAGTAGAGGCTAAAGTTGGTATGTTTTGGGACTGATAAATCTGTTGGGGTTGCTTGGAAAACTGTTTTCCCTCTGGGACAACTAGTAGTTATGGAAATGTTTCTGCCTTATAGACCTGGTCCTCTTAGGGGTTGTAATGCACACTCTGTGGTTTTGCTGTGTTGGATCTCTGCAGTTCTTGAATAGAAAACGGGTAGACTGTCAGTCCTTGTGCTAGTGGACCTTGGCTTCTTACCAGTAAATTGTTTGAAGAAGATGAGGTTCCTATGCTGATGTGAATATTTGATGAACTTATTAGTTTGCTGTTATAAAACCTCTGAAATATTATCATCTACCTGTATTGACCTTTTTCCTTGTCTTAAAAAAAACAACCAGAACACCACAAAACACCACAAAACACCCCCCTCCAAAAGAACAACCAAAAACACACAAAGGAATCCAAAAACAGAAAGCCTCTTTATGGTTAAAAGTAGTAACTGAATAAACTGAAAATAGCCATTTTTGCCAGTGAAGCTGGAATTAACAACTTTTCTTTATGTCCCTGTAATGTAAAAGTGCAGTGCATCTATGTCAATTATTGTTACCCCTGATGACTCAGCTTCATGCCTGCTCTGAGAAATGGACTGCAGTGTGTTAGTATTTAAAGACAAACTACCTGATAATTGTTTTAAGGCTTTTAATTTGGTTTGCTCGGTGGTATTTTTTTTAAGTTATGTCCCTTCCAATTCCTGTTTCTAGGCTCTTAGGAAATGCCTATGTAGCGAGTCTTGACTTAGAGCAATTGCCAGTGGTGTCTTAAACAGCCTGAAACTAATACTGACAAAATAAATGTCTAATAGTAACAGAGGCTGGAAGTCTTTTTGTGCAGGGAATGTATTAAAACTCTTTACAAATATTTTGAAAGTAAGTGTCACTTTAAAATATTTTTGGGATTTTCCACTCCTGAGAGCTTAAGTTTAATTGTCTTTGATTTGGATTTGTTTTGTATAATAAAATACCACAATCTGATAATATTTTTCAAGTGTGCCTGTGCATTTGTCAATAGTTAGGCAGATTGGTGTCTTGGAAAAATATATGATTGAGAGGTGAACATAATGGTTGGTAGAAGGTTGTATTTTATCATCCTTCACACAAGGAAAGAACAGGTTTTTTGCAAATAGATTCAATATAAGGTATCACCATAGTATATGGTGGAATTTGGGACTGTTTTCTTGATTTGGGTGACACTCATGTCAACAAGTGAAAAGCAGACTGAAGTGTGAGGCAGGTGAGACTATCTTTCGGATTATGTTTGCCAGAAGAAGTAAAAGTTTTCCAAGACTTAATTTCATGTGAAATAAAGTAACAGTATATTGAGCACGTACAAAGCTCCGATGCCGAGGTTTAAATGAACCACACTCAGTCTCCTCCATGTATTAGTTCTCATGTAACTTTTTTCAGTGGTACTGAGAGTGTATAGGATTATGAAATTCCTTTGCAGGAGGTGGTTGTTGGATTGCATTCAGGTACTTTATACTCTTAGTTTTCAAAGTCCTTGGCTTTTCTCAGTTGGAGTCTTATTTAACTTTTTTGGGTTTTATTCCCACCAGCGTGGATTCCAGTTTGAACTGGGTAAATTAAAACCACAAACTATTACATATTTACACAGAAGTTAAAGTTCACTTAAGGTAAAGAAGACAATGTCAAAAATCTGTAAAGGTAAAAAAGAATGTTTATAAAAGTTACACTTTCAAATTCTGCAAAAATATTACTGAATTGAAATTACAACTATTTTCATCTGAAAAATCTGAAAGCATATGCCAGCACTTTATGACATAGTTGTTATTACTAAAGATTTTTATCACAGTATCTGATGTTTACATTTCTTACTACTTTAGAGCTAACTTATCTTTAAAGAAATGAAAATTGGTCTTTTCCAAGGAATTTTAAGTTTTGAAGACTTTATTTGTACTTTATATAAACTTAAAATATACCTTGAATCAGACTTACTTTGGATAAGTGCATTTGATTATTTAAAAATACTATTGTGCATTCGTAACTTCAATTGAATGTAAATACATATATTGCAGGCAACTGTTAGACTGTCTTGCTTCCTGCCATATTACTTGGAATTTCCGTGTTAATGAGTGATGAGTAACATTTTCAGATGACTGAAGTCATACTTCTATGCAGTTCATGACCTTTTTATATTAAAAAAAAATAAAAAAATAAACTTTGCCTTTTTTTTTCAAAACTTCTTTGTTTTCATTCCTTCACAGAATCAGAGAATGGTTGAGGTTGGAAGGGCCTCTGGAAGTCATGTTGCCCAACTCCAACCTGTTCAAGCCATGCCATCTAGGCCTCGTTGGCCAGGACGATGTCCAGATGGCTTTTGCTCTCCGAGACTCCATCTCTGGGCAAACCAGTTCAGTGCTCAGTCATTCTCACAGTAAAAATATGTTCTTGTGTTCAAATGGAGCCTCCTGTGTTTTAGTTCGTGCCCATTCCCTCTTGTCCTGGCCCTGGGCATCACTGACAAGAGCCTGCTGGTGATATTTTGCCCCGTGCAGCCCATGCCCTTGCCTGCTTTGTGCAACAGCGCTGGCTCCCGTTCAACTCAGTGTCCACCAGGTCCTTTTCCCAAAGGTGTTTTCCAGCTGGATGGCTCCAGCATGTGTCAGTGTATGGGATTGGTCCTGCACAGGTGGAGAGCTTTGGGCTGCGCTGAACTCCATGAGGTTCCTGTCAGCCCATTTCTCCAGCCTGCAGAGGTCCCTATGGATGGCATCATGACCCTCAGGTACATCAGCCACTCCTCCTGGTTTTGTGTCCCCTGCAGCCTTGCTGAGGGTGTGCTCTGCCCATCATCATTAATGAGGATGTTAAACAGGACTGCCTGTGAGGATCTGGGGGACAGTGTCAGAGGCCTTGCTGAGGTCTAGGTGGGCAATGTCTGCTGCTCTCCCCTCAGTTACTGACCAGTCGTTTCAGAAGTGCAGAAGTTTATCAGGTTGCTCATTGTGACTTCCCCTTGCTGAATCCATGCTGACTAACTGATGACTCATGAAATTGGCAGCTAGCTTCTTGGAATTGTTTTATATGTGTCTGGGTTTTATACATAAAAAGTTGATGTTCCTGTATGTAATGGTCTAGTTATATCTTGCAGTATTTATTGAGGTGATACCTTTTATGTTAAATTCTAATAGCCTTGCTGAATGACCATGTGAGGAAACTTAAATGGAATGTTTGTTACACATATTAACCTTCTAGGGCAGTAATGGTACATTTGTTTCATTGTCAAGTAGAGGGCTGAAACAAAAACAAACAACCAAACAAAACCAACAAGTTGCCTTTAGAAAGGGAATTGCACTCAAAGGTGGTAACCCCTTGTTGCCTGGTTAATGCCTTTCCTCCAAAGGCACATTTAATTGACAAAGCTTTCTCATTGTTTGAAATGCACAAATGGGCTTTCTTTTTAGTGAAAGAAACAGTGTATTCATGTGCTTTTTTGGTGTTGCAGCATTAAATTCAGAAATTATCTGAATATTTGTGTTTCCTGTACTGAAGGTTTTTATCAGGAAAGCTGCCTATTTTTTCTTTAATTTTTTTAGCACCTCAAGAAAACAAACTATTCTTTTTAATGGTGATTTGAAACAATGTGAAATTTCTGTCTTTTCAAAAGGCCTTCTAAGGAAGAAGACTTGTTAGAAAAATGCATTATAATGGCTTTAAACTGGAAGAGAGTAGGCTTATATTAGATGTTAGGAAGAAATTCTTGACAATGAGGGTGGTGAGGCACTAGAACAGGTTCAAGGGGAGTTGTGAATGCCTGAAAGTGTCCAAGGCTGGGTTGGATGGGGCTTTGAACAACCTGCTCTAGTGGAAGATGTCCCTGCCTGTGGCAGGGGGTTGGGAAATATATGATCTTTAAGGTCCCTTGCAGCCCAAACCATTCTATGATTCCATGTTAATAACTGACCATCTTCTTACCAGGACAGCTGTGCTTCTACTCTTGCCAAGTAAGGGAAGTTCAGCTTGAAAAAATATTTTTGTAAAACTGGGGCAAGATACAAGGGTACAATTACTGTGTGTTTGTTTCAGAAACCACTCATCCTGTGCATTAAGAACCTGGCAGCTGACAGAATTGAAAATACTGCTTGGCCCACTCAGCATTGGAGAAGTGAGCAAGACAGAATGAGTCAGTGAGTAGATCGTCTACCAAATTAATAGTAACATTACAAAGCTGAATTGCCAAGTCATACCAGTGTATGAGAGTATAAGGAAATTTTTTAATAATTAAAAGCAGGTACATGGATTATGACATGAAAAATCTTATCTGCTAGCCCAGTGTAATGAATAAACAGCAACATAGATGTTATTAGTTCTCTGTAAGAAGAAAGTTGTTTTCTGATAATGAAAAATACCGTATTTACAAGGATTTTTTTTTTTTGTAATGTTCCTAATACTAGCAATCTGTGTCTTTCCTCCTCTGAAGAGTACAGGCAGGTGTGCTATCTCCAGTTTCCTAATAAACCCCAAAATGTCACATTCTAGCAAAAGGAATCGCAATGCCCGGCAGTGGATGGCAATGCATGCTGAATGTGCCACTGCTTTCTGTGGGTATAGTTTCTAATAGTTGAAATAGTAAGGAGTTCTGTTTGCATGCTCTCCAGCTGGACTGTTACAGCCAGTACAGTGTAGAGCTTGTTTGAATCTCCCTATGATATGTTGAGTATGAGGGTATTTCTCATTTCAAAATCAAAACCAGACTCTGGTGCTGGCTTGAATTTAGAAAATGCACTGGGAATTCCGAGTGATGTTGAGCCTTCTGCAGCTGGACAAAGCAGAAATACCCTACTGGTTCTTTGCTTGTGGTATTTTAACGGAGGGGCTTTTATGTTTAAAACTTGCTATCTAAACACTTTAAATGTTCTGTGTGCAGTTCACAAGATTGATTACAGGCCTGAATTGGAGCTCATTTATAGGGATTTTCCAACAGGGTAACTCTGTAACATGTAGTGCTACGTTTTATGTGTTGCTGTGAAAACATAATAAAACCTCTCAAAATTCACGAACTAGCCAACATGGCAACAGCTCTTTCAGATGCCATTGAAATCCCAAACTGGTCACAGCAGAGTGTTAGAAGTCATGCAAACCATGCCAGTTATTTAGATTGGTCAAACCATTTGATTCATGATCAAGGGAACATGCATTGACTACCAGTGGAACTGAAGGAGATTTTGACTTATATTTTCTTGTATTCTGTGATTTAGGGGGGTGGGGGGCAGGTTGTTTAAATCCCAGGGCGTTGTGCACAAGATGGGCTGATGCCATGATGTGGCAACCGAAACATCTTTGGTTGCTGTTGGAGTTTAGACACCCCAGCCCAGCATTTTAGCTTACTAAGAATGATTTTGCAAGCACAGCTGAGTTCTTTGCCATGTTTTGATAGGGCACCTGTCCCACTGCTTTGCTAAAGACAAGCACCTGAATTCAGCTTCTGACTGAAGGATGGTTTGGGCTGCTGTTCCTGTTCTGTTTTCAGAGACAATAACGCTCTCTTACAGGCACCCCTTTAGAAACCACAAAAATTGTTTAACTTGGTACAAACTACAAAATGTTACGTCATTGTCCTGGTTTCGGCTGGAATAGAGTTTATTTTCTTCTCAGTAGCTGGCATAATGGACTCTGTATGACAATAACATTGATAACACACTGATGTTTTGCTTGTTGCTAGGTAGTGCTTTCTCTAAGTAAAAGACATTTCTGTTCCCCGTGCTCTGCCTGTGAGAAGGTGCTCAAGAAGCTGGGAGGGAGCACAGCTGACCTGAACTCATACACCTGGTATGAATTCCATACCATTTAAATTATTATTTAAACTGCAAGGGAGCTGGCTGGGAGGGTCTGACCACTTCTCAGGGATGGGATGGGCATCGGTCAGCAGGTGGTGAACAATTGTGTTGGGTGTCATTTGTTTCCCTTGGTTTTTTTCCTTTGGTTTCTTTTTTTTTTTCCTCCTTTCGTTACAATTTTT